TAAATCTACTCTCATTCAGTTTAAGGCCATTACTCCTTGTTTTGTCACTCTATGCCCTTTTCAAAAGTCCCTCTCTCTCCTTTTTATAAGCCCATGAAGTGCTGGAAGGGGTTCTATGGTCTTCCAGGAGCCTTCTCTTCTCAGGCTGAACAACCTGAGTTCTCCCAGCCTGGTTCCATAGGAGACCTGATCCAGCCCTCTGATCACCTTTATGGTTCTCCTCTGGACTCCCTTTTTTATACAAACAGATAATTTTTTACACACTTCAAAGTGTGTAAAAAAGTGTGTAATTATTAGTCTTCTTCTTCCTCCCTATCTTGCCTTTGTTCTGTTTTCTCACAATTGATACATGCTTGTTATATTTTTCTTTAGGAGGAGCCAAAACACAGTAAAGTGAAGTTATCTGCGTCCTTGTACAAACACATCCTTTCAGGGACATATTCTTTAAAAATTAACAATTTTTTATTCAAGGCTCAGGAAAAGCTTAATAATTTACTTTCTACATAGTTCTCACATTTATCTGGCAATTTATTTAGGACTTTAATATTAATGATGTTAATTTTTCAACTCAGACAAGAGCCTTTAAGTTTTAGAGCATCATATATACTTGCTTGTATGTCTCAACTACTTTTCCCATATATTTGGTTAGATCTTTGGAAAATGGTGCTTTGTCATTATGCTTAAGTAAAAAGACTGGTCTAATACTTTTCCAAAGTTAATGATAGAACACCCTCGTTCTCACTCTTGCTCTCACTCCCTTGCGAACATGTAGGAATGAATTTAATGAGCAAAACATTCAAATTATGAGCCAAGAATTGGTGAAAAGTGTTTTTTTCCACAAAGCTATATTTGTAGCTACATTGCTGTAGTTTTGACCTACTGCCAAAGTCTTTTCTGTTCATGCAATTCTTCCATTTGAGATTTTCTTCCTTCAAATGTTGAAACTAGTCATTAGTATGTCTGTATGTATGGGATGATGTCATCTCACACTAAACATTTCTGAGGCATACAGAAATAAAAAAAAATAGTTAAATTATTAAGAGAACAATTGTTTATCCTAAATATACAAAACCTTATATCACGTATTTAGCTAGTTATGCCTGTGCAATAAATTACTGGTAGAAGTGCTTAGCTTAACTTTTATGGGTTTTTATGAATATATTTTAAAGATATTTCTAAGTGTCCTTGTTGGTTGGCATTTATATTTTCTATAGGAACTATAAGGATGCAGGGGTTTATTGTGTGATTTTGGTTTGGGTATTTTTTCTGTATGTGCTAGCTAAACCTTTAGCTTAACCTGCTGAATTTTTATTAAGTGAAGCAAATATTGCGCTAGACTCTGTTGCAGAAGCAGTTATTATCACAAACTCATATATTTGGTTTCTAAATCATAGGAAAAACAGAATGAACATTTCTACATTTAAGTAGGATATTACTTTCATGTAATTGCTCCAAAGAGATTTCAAAGAGTTAGTGATGCTCCAAAGAATAAACCATGTTTAAGAGCACCAAATTCCTCTCAGGATCATATTGTCACATACATTATATTGTGTACACAGGATACCACCCAATAAGTAGTGTGATATGATGCTGCTTTGGATTCTTTGAACAAGTTTCATACTTCTGGACTGGGTAACTAACGATATGAAACAACAACTACAGTATTTGTATGCAAGTAAGCAATACAACCAACTTAGACTCTGTTTTGCATCAAAAAACACAATAAAGGGTATGAACACAAAAAAGCAACTGACTCAAAGCTCATTCAAGTCAAAGGGATTAGCAGTGATGCTTAAACTCTTTGCTTCATCAGGACTTAGGTGATAAGTAGTGATAATCCATTCTAAAAATTTAAAATATTGCACTTTGGGATTTTTTACAGTCTTGCTGTACAAAAACTACATAGTCTGTCCTGAACAGTTCCTCAGGTCTCCTGCAGCTGGCTAATTTCTGATGGCAAACATCAGGGCTTTCAGGGCATGTGGGACCAGAGCTGTTTTTCCTGCTTCATAACTGCCCATCTAACCTCCCCCGAGTTAGTTTTGTGTCTGTCAAACAAAAATCTTAATGCTTGCTTGTCTTTGTAGAGTGCCTAGAAATGCAAAGATCTGTTTGTGCCGTACATTTCGCTCAGTTTGGGTCACAGTTTTTCAAGACTCCCAATAGGAGGGAATCAATACAAGACCCCTCAAATGAAGTTGCAGGTTACAGCCTTTTGTTACTAGGAGTATCTGGATATAACTTTTGGCTTTGAAAATAATAATTTTTTGATCCAGAAGAACTGACTCTGAAATAGCTTTTACTTTCCTTTAAAAGTAAATTTACTTTGAATTTGCTTTATTGTGGATTTACTCAATTCTTACATGACTACAGGGTGTTTGTTCTATAACTAACTGAAGTTATGCGCTTCTTTATGCAAGATTACAAATCTCGCTAATTATTATAGTTCATGAATTTATATTTTCTGTCATAAGCTTAATTATGCCTTGTCAGAAAATTAGTTTTCAAGCTCATGGATACTTTCATATGTCTGTAAAGGTCAAATTGGATCAACATAAGTGTTTTACTATAATAAATGTGAAACATTACATTTGGAATTCAAATTCCTTTGAAACACTGTAAGAAGTTTAAAAAGCAAAAAATTACTTTGAAATTATTAATATAAATTTAAAATGTGAAAATGGGCTTTTGGATTTTTTTAAACATTTTCCAACTTGTTTTTTCTTAAAAGATCAAAAATGCTATGATTTGTTTAACAAAGAAATTTCTATCGCAGCAGTTTTCTCTAATGGAAAATCAATTACATCATATTTCAACCAACCTTCACTTTGATGCTGTACAGTATCAGCAGCCTCTCAAAGTCCAAAGGGGGACAATGGGCCTTACGGATATGTCGTCTCATGGCATGTGACAAAATCAAGCTGTCTCATGAATGGGCCCCATTCAATGTTTCGATATCTCTTAACGTCCTTGGTCATACAACTCAATTTCTGTGTCCTAAAATGGTACAAAGTCTACCCAAACATTCTTAATCATTCTATTATTAAATGGCCCATTAAATGAAATAAGTTATGGGTCTTAAAGAAGTAAAAAAAACATTTAAATGTAATCCTGAGTGGCAGCTGGGAGAGACTGTGCTTCAGCCTCTAGGAGAGACTGCAGAGGAGACTGTAGAGACTGTGGGAGACTCTCTAAATCATCTGGAACCTGTACAGCACAGACTGCAGCTGTGGTGGGAAAGGATTGCTCTTTGTTAAGTTAAAAGCTATCCCTACAGAATGAATGAGATTTCCTATTGTAGTAATTTTTGTACTGTGCCACTAAATGGTAGAAACAAGAATCAAAAATCTTCCCTGAACCCACAAAAAACACCTAACTTTGCAAGGAGCAACATGCCTCCCCTTTCCTTCACTTTGACCTGCTGATGAACTGTGGTCAGGACCATACCTCTGCCCATCCTGTGGAATTTAGTCATCTGAGGAAAAAGGGCGAAAAGTGCTTAGACTGCAGCTCTGACTGATCCATAACATTTGTGAGGCTGCTGATCAGCTCACTGGCATCCTGTACAGGGGTTAGACACTGTGGTTCTGGATTTATTGAAATTTCCCTTTCCACTTTAAAAAAAAATCTTCCCCCCTTAGGGATTACTCCCACCGTGCTGTATGACAAAGGTAGAACATTTATCGGTATTTCCATTTCCTTTTTTAGTAAGCCACAGACATGAGAGAAAGTACGGATCTTGTGCTTTCTCATGCAGTTTTGTATTCTCAACATCCTTATGGGATTTGCCCACTTGACTGAAATTATCACACCACAGTTTGCCCAGACCTTCTTTTTTAGCATTATAAACATTTATGAAGTGTTAGTGAAACCTGTTCTAGACAAATAAAAAGCAACACCAAAAAACCTGAGAAAACGGAGAGAAACTTCAAGCTAATTTACTGCTTAGGAATAATTTTGCAGTGAATTCAATATATAGGACACCCAAAGAGAAATGCACAATCTGATATTTCTGCTAAGTAGTTTTGAACTCCAGTATTTCTGTTTATTTTTCAGTGCTTTCCCTGATGAGTGACTGCTGCACTCCTTCCAATTTAACTAATACTGTGTCTCCCTCACCCAAGGTTATTCATATCTTGCTAATTATGTGATTAAACTTACCGTTAAGACTCAGCTTCCTGATTTGGCTTTGAAATTTGTTGGGTTCTATTTCTAAGTGATATAACTAAGCAGGAAGAAGTTCTGTTTATTCCTGGGAAACATGCTCTTGTGTATTTTGCTTCTGAGAACTGTGTGGACGTTGGCTGATTTCATAACACATTATAAACTTAGTGGTTTCAGTTAAGAAAGTCCCAGTTCTCAGAAGTTTCAGTGAGATTTATCCTTACGTTATTGCCATTTGGTACCTCTGATAAATATTTCCAAGAGATTTTAGCAATCAGAATAGCCTTGGACCCCAAATCTGCTACCAGCTGCTGCATCTTCTTTTTATTTTGCTCTGAAGCTTGTTGCAGTTGCTTTATCTTCTCATGCTACAGTGAAACTCAAGTAGATGACAGCAGAATGAAACAAAGCCTAGTGTCTCTCTTCCCAACTGGTGTGAGATCTCTACAGACCCATCTGGCAGGCTTTCCTTTAAAATAAACTTTAAAAAAAAGGTCTGTTCAATTTCACTTGGCTTAAGGGAGAAATTTCCTTTTCCTCTGGTCACTATATTACACAAATTCTTAGAAAAGTAAAAACAAACAAATGAAAAAACAGGTTAAAGAGTTGTAACTGATGTTGACAAGTGTGGGTTCCTGCTGGAAAACTTCTGAAATTGAACTTATACCAGCTGTATTTGAAGAGTTCTTATTTCCCTTTATCTGAATTTTTTACCACAGCATATTTTGGTACCAAGTAAGTGAAGACAGATTACTATCACTACTGTAAACAGCTAACAACTATGATGACACTGACAGAGAGGAATTTGGAACAGAGTTTGAGGCTCTAGGGCTTACCATAGAATGAGGTAAAATATCTGATGATTTATTAGCTCCTTAAGCAATGACAAATGCAAGGATCTTCAAATCCAGTATTCAACTTTTTTCCATACTCTTGAAAGTCATTCCTTTCCCTAGAGGAAAGAGATAGAACAAAAAGAGGAAGACAGTAGGAGGGAAAGCACATGAAGTAAGTATAGGATTCACAGAAATTATATATCCTGAAGAACTTCTGAAAGAAAATGCAAGTTGGAAAAGAATGGGTACAAGTGTTTTGATAGCTAAGCACAGTACACATGACTGAAGGACAGATTTCTAAAAGGATTTAAACACCTAAACCAATGAGAGTAACACATTTTTTGGCTGCTGCCTTGGTCTGAAACATCTGAATCGCCTTGAAAAATGGTTCCTATCACAGCAGGTTTTGTGAGTTCTTTTATTGGTTGGCACTTGGCATTTCTGAATTTTTTACTTCCCTGCTTATTTTAAAACAATTTTTTATTTATTACCTGAAGAAAAGTGAAGAAATCTGTTCTGACTCCGAAGCTCTTTAGAACAGCCTCATGCTGATGTCTGAGCACAAGATTACTGTGAATCTAATGGAACTAGCTGGTGCTACATTTAAGTGTCCTATGAACCTGCCAAATCAGTGTGAGCCTACAGTTTATGTCAGTCAGGGCAAGACTGGACAATCCACAACACTGTTAATGTATGTGGTACAGTCACAGCTCTTAGTCAGGTACAGCAGAAATACAAATGCTTGGGGAAGCTAAAACCAGAAAATCCCAATAACAAGAAAAAAGCATAAGCTATATTACTGTTTCTTTTTGAAGTCACAGGCTACTAGAGTAGTCACATGGGATATCTTCAAGTATATTCTACAGAAGTACATCTTCCCTCAGTGCACCAGACATTTTACTCTTACATTTCTATATACAATTACTTCTACTATTCAATTATGATGTTTCAGTTTACCATTTAACAGGGTGCTTCACTAACGCTTTGTTTTTGTTAATACAAACAGAAAAACCCCCATACACCTACATTTGAAATCTGCTTCAGTGGTAAACTCAATAAAGTCCATGCTTCTTGTGCAATTTATCTGTTTATGTAAAGTTATCTTTCAGACACAGTATTTGAAGCAGATCTTCATAAAAGAAATGTTGAACATTTCACCACACAGCATACATGACTACAAACCATAAATAAAGGTCAATGACACAAAACTTCCTCCTAGAAAGCTCCAGGCCCTTCCAGACAGAACTGGGTTTCTCCACGTTGCAAATCTGTGACCTTCCCTGCATACGCACCAAGTCTTTATGGTAAACATGCCCCTATGTGGCCAACATTTCCTGTTTACATATGTAGTAATAAACTCTTCTAGAAGTTTTCTTCTTTGCCTTTGATACCTTTCAGCCCTTTTTAAGGCAAATTGTTATGATTAGTTAATTAAATAATAGTAAAAACACTAGCATTAATTGAAAGCACAAGTGAAGCTTCTCAAGTTACTCAGTGAGATTTACCAGTTTTAGCAATGCCTTAATCTCTTAATTTTATCAAGTATGTTCAGAAGACTGTCTCCAGAGGAATACTCTTCCACAATTAATAATTTAAAAGAAAACATATATGAAAAATTGAACAGTTATTTCTATAGTTTAATGTTTTTGTTATTTATGTGATTTGATTTTCCATTCATCTTAAGAAATGAAAACAGATAATTTCAATGTTTTCTATTTCCTAATGTTCAGCACAATGCTGAAAAATTATATTGTCTGTACTAGAGCAAATATCAGAAAATATATTCATAAAAATATTTGACTCACATATTTCTATTTAGCTTTAATTTTACTAGAAAACAGACCACAATTTAACCTAATAGTTTTAGAAAAAATATCAGATATAGCTTACAGTGGTTCTGTACTGACCCATGGTTCATCTAAACAATATTTTTTTGGGAAAGCTTGAACCTGCAAGTGAAGGGCCATTTATTTCCTATAGTAAAGGTAATAAATTGGATGATTAGTTGCAATACACTTGACAACAACTTGAAAATAAAATAGCAGTTGTGTCTAATAGAAAATTAATTTGTGTCCATGAAAGGACCTCAGCAAGTTCTAAAAATGTAAGAACCATGACTATCTCTCATTCATCTAATCTCAAATAAAGTTTCTTCTGCTAAAACAAATGACAGTAAAACTGACACAATAAAGCTCCACTGTCTTCTCGTTTTTAGACATTAATGCTTTTTTCCCCAACCCAATTATGCTTAGAACAAAGTTATGGTAATAACGATTCACAAAAGAGAAGAGTAACGAACAAAGGACAAGACATGAAAGCAGCACAACTGTTACAGAAAGGGTGATGTATTTCCAAGATGGTCACAATATGTGGCTTCATGAAGATGAGAGAGAAGGAGCTGCCTGATGGAAAAATATACAACAGTGTCAGAAACCACAGCATCACTACCTCCTCACCAGAGAAATGCTCTTCTTTCAGATCCTTTAATGTCTGAGTTCTCAAATTCTGTTTCTCTGGCTTTGTTTTTTCTCTCTTTAATTAAAAAAAAACAACAACAACAACAACAAAAAAAAAGACAATATTTCAAAGCCAGCTGTCAGAGAGGCTGTTGTTGTAATGCCTAGCCTAAATCCAGCTCCTCTGGCCACCTAAGGATTAACTCTTCAGTCAGAAAATAAAGAACTTCCACCCTTGACTAGTGTGACAACTACATTCTGCCTTCCAAAACCAGACTTCTGCTCTCTGAATCCCCATCTGCACACTTCTTAGTCTACTTCCTTAGTAGAAGCTGCAAGCAAGGGTCTATGACCATTACAAGGCTGTAGAATTTCCAGATTTTTTATAACAGATGTATTTTAAAATTGGTGTAGCTACTTTAGCTCAAAAGCTTCAAGATTTTGCAACCAGGACCATTGTAATGCAGTTACTTTGGAATCAGCATCAGTAATGCATAGGAGGTAATATCATGGTTGAGGCTCAAAAGGAAATCTCTCTCTTCAGAAGAGTACTCTGAAATCCATGAAGTTTAGTCTGAACAGCATTCAAATTTTTGGGAAGTGTGATACAAACAAAAATTTTTTGGAATTACATTAGGCTAAACCCTAATTTTTTCTTCAAAAAATATTGTTCTGAATCTTGGATAAAGAACCAACAGAAAGAAGTAGAAACACCAGAGTAGTTTCTATGGCACCTCCTCTTTCCACATAAGACAGGAAGATGGTGGGACTGTGTGAACCTCCTCCCTGGGGAGCACTGATTCTCATACTAGCCTGGTGTAGCTCCAGGCTACATCCTTACACATCTACAAAGGTAAGTTAAACTGATTTTGTGTCCCACATAGTCCCTCACAGCACTAGCTTTGAAATCCAGCCTTTCGGGGACAAATAGTTGAATGAATATTGCTAAAATAGGAATTGGTGGTAGCAGGCTATCCAATCTAATCCAACCTACACCCTAAAATCATATGGGAGTCCCTGGGACTTTTGAAACACATATTTTTGCATCATCCATAGTTAACAAAAATCTACTCTGTGACTCCTACTCAAAGACATTTCCACCTGCACCTGCAGAAACACAGTCCCTCTTTCAAATCCTTAGGGAATTCTCGGCACTATGAGAAGTTTACTTTCCTGTTATTTTTTCATGGTGTCTACATAAAAGCGGTGTTTTTCACTACTCAGAATGCTAAATCCCACATCCTGTTTCCCAGGTCTGATCCTGAAAGGCTTGGGACTTAGAAGTATTCACTGCTGTCTGATATTGTGAAAAAATAATCCTCAAGTTCTTTGACAAATTTCCCTCAACTAAATACACTCAAGGAGTGTTATACCAGGGCTTCCACATCATACTTTGGTTGTATACTATGAGTGGTGGTCATTCACCTGCAGTTCCTGAAAGTGCACTAGTTAACACAAGTGCACACAATTCATCAATAGTAGGTGCCTGTGTAGAGTGTTTATTTTACCCCGTGGTTTAAGGCGACATACCTGCAGTTACAACCTGCCACCACTTGGCAGTGTGCAATAGATTTACAAGTAACAGATTCTTCCACTCTGAAATAGTAGAGGAAAACAATTTGAAATTACTTTGGCATTCACCTTACCTGTCATTTTTACCCTTCTCTCCTTGCCTTCAACACAGCATCTTAACGTCAAGAAATTAATTCCTCGTAATTTCTCATAAAAGATGAAAAAACCCAGCCCCACAACCCAGACAACACTGTACCCAAATAAAACCACCAAAATCGCCAAATGCCCCTAGTGGCATTAAATTTTCTCTCTCTTTTTTCTTTTTTCTTACCTGTCTGTCTTTCCAGTCATCTACAGGATCATGATTAGCATAAACTAGGGGAAAATGAGCTAGCTTTGAACTAGTAATGCTACTCATTGTAAATTCACCTACAGTAGCAGAGAATATGAAAATATCAATCAGAAAACTACTGCAAAAGCTGTGGAAATGTGTGGTTGATGAGACTATGCTGCCGTAGGTAAACTGCTAGAGGGAAGAGCTCAGCTGTGGAGGACTTTGCACTCCAACCATCAGGAAATAAATATGCAATGAAGAGAAGCTCTGAGAGTTTCATCATTACAGTATTCTACAACTTGGTGTAGAGATAGAGCCGTACAAATTACAGCCAACATATTTTCTAGTGCAGGTAAGAACATAGTATTTTGCATGCTATGGTAGCTCCCACTCAGAAGGAAGACTTATGCACGTTGGAGAAATTAATAAGATAAATGTCCATCTAAAAAAAATAAATATAGTTCCAATAGTAAAAAAAAAAAAAAAGTGGTTATCCCACGTGTGTAAATAAGTACATACTTAATTTGCAAATATAATGGTCATAATTGCATATGCAAATGAAACCACCATCAGACATATTACACAATAATTTCCTTCAGGAATGTATAAGAAAACACTTCACAGTATGACTGATTTGTCTATGTAACATACACATGAAATGCAAATGCAGTCCTGAAAACCTGCTTGAACTAGATGGTAGCAGACTGTTTATCCAGTCTACTCAACA